GTACTGTATTAGAATATCTTGTAAACTTTTAATTGTGAGTGAATAAACATCCCATGATCAATAATATTATCGGTGGTTATCGAAGTAACGTCTAAATAGTTAAAAGTAGAAGTACTGCTTAATCGCATCTAAGTTGAACATATAGCACTACCCACTCAAACGTGCATCAGCAATTTACTAAAATGGTACAGTCGCACTGGTTAATATACTAAACAAGTTTATTTGTGTATTATAATTTTTGTTTATGAGGGTCAGACTAGAACTCACTCGGGTTGCAATCCAAGTGGTCCACGACATATAATTCAGTGGAATCATAATATGTCATGTATCATCATTTAATGAAGGTGCACATATAGTGCACCGACAGGCAATAGGATAATCCTACTGATAATAGTCGATCTCTGTATATGTTTACAATAGCTTATTTATAGTCTACGCAGATCCGCTTCGATTGTGGGATATTTTACATCTGTGTTCAGAGACAAACCAACATTATCACCCACGTGCGTCACTGAAGACGAGATGAGTCATGACCACACAGTTACACATAGCTATTGTCCCATGTCCTGTGACCACTGACCTGTCACCTGTGGACAGCCTGCGGCCCTGTGACCTGAATATGGTCCGAGCCTAAAAACCCTAATTTGTCCTGTCCACTCCTGTGAGGTTGTGAGCCTGTGAGTCTGTGAGGCTGTGAGGCTGTGAGGCTGTGAGGCTGTGACTGTGAGGCTATGGACTAGACTAGTCCTATGACTAATAATTGGGTGCGTATTCAAATATTGTCCTAATGGCGCTCACCTCGCTGCATTCGGCACCATAGCCCAAATGTTTTTGGTTTGTCCCAATTTTCAGTTCGGCCCAAATGTCAGAATGGCTCTAGCGCTGCCCTCATAGTCATAGCCCAAAGGTTTTTACTTTGTCCCATTTTTTTGGCTTTCGGGTTCGACTGCGGGATGTTTGGTCTGAGCACTTCAATTCAAGAAAAAAGTTATAGATAGATCTAGAACTCTCTTGGGGAACTTTAACCCCTCAACCCTAAAGAATTTGTACATATCCACATAAAATATCATTGTGATATCATAGCTGAGAACGAACAATACATATACTTTGGTCATTTGTATTATGTAGCTCTCTGAATTATACACTTTTGTATTTTATGTTGTGTATGCTACAATCATCAATCGCTCACAATCACCGTCAGTGTTAAAGTTTAGCGATCGTTTGCGTTAGGGTACAGAGACGTTTGCGTGCATTGTCAGTGAGTATTGCACGCGGCAATAGGATAACTTCAAACAAAGCATCGGCTATCACATATACGACAAAGAACCTTCGGCTTCACATAGTGATATACAACCAAGCGAGACAGTTGAGTCAGCACGTAGCTATAGCTATACCCGTGACAGTGTCCGTCGTGTGCTGTACGTGACTGCATCATGTTCGCAATCCTAGTGACAGGCCGCTTCGTACAAACTGAATTCCAACAGGTGGATCAGAACAAATTCCTGTTCCCCATCAACACAGCCGGCCAATTCAACCACATCGTAGTTTTCCTCACTAACCCCGAGGGGTTTCCTCAAGGCTATGGTATGTGGCTACCCGTTGTTTGTAAAGATTATTAAATAACATGGATGGAGAAACAGGGTCAGTTTCAGGATCTGCTTTATGATGAGAGTAGAACATATGTATATACTACGCTCATTCTATTCCTACTTTTGAAATGTCAGCCCATCCTGAATTCTTTGCAGCTGCTGTCAGTGGATTTATATAGGGGTATATATA